GCTTTTCAGGGGTCAAGTAGGAAATCCCAAAGTTAATTTAGACAAAACAAAACAAAACAAAAACCAAAAACAATTAAATTTAGGATTTTATTTTGGAATATTTGTCAAAAAAAGTTCAAAAGTTTAAAAACACTTGATCAAACATGATTGTTTAATCAGAGTGACAATAAAGCATTTTTTTTTTTTTTTGAGTTGGAGTCTCACTCCGTCTCCCAGGCTGGAGTGCAGTGGCACACTTATGGCCACTTCAGCGTCGACCTGCTGGGCTCCAGTGATCCTTCTGCCTCAGCCTTCCAAGTAGCCGAAACTACAGGTGCGCGCTCCCACACCCAGTTAATTAAAAAAAAAAAATTATTGTAGAGACGAGGTCTCATGATGTCGCACAGAAAGTTGAATTGTGAACAAAAGCTTAGTTCTTTTACTAATAAAAAAACTCACTTTTTAATTTTTTATTTAGCACCTTGAACACATTTAAAAATAGCTGATTCTTAATTTATTGTGGCCAGAGGGGGGGAAAAAGGTAAAATAGCTCATTTAAAATCTTTGCCTAGTAAGACCAATATCTGGGCTTTCTCATGGACTTAGTTTTTATTGATTGCTTTTTTCCTTGTTCCTTAGGATGACTCACAATTTTTTGTTCAAAATAGACATTTAACATTTTCTAATGTGACAACTCTGAAAATCAGATTCTCTCCTCTCCCTAGAGTTCATTATTATTGGTTTTTTTTGAGTTGGAGTCTCACTCTGTCGCCCAGACTGGAGTGTAGTGGCCGCTCCCAGCCACCGCAGCCTCAACCTGTTGGGCTCTGGCGATCCTTCCGCCTCAGCCTTCCAAGTAGCCAGAATTACAGGCGTGTGCTACCACGCCCGGCTAATTTTTTGATTTATTGTAGAGATGAGGTCTCGCCTGCCCAGGCAGGTCTCGAACCCGCGGGCTCAGGCAATCCACTCACCTCAGCCTCCCAAAGGCGCGGGATTACAGGCTGAGCCACTGAGCCCGGCTTATTATTGCTTTTTTTGTAGTAGTTTGTTTAGTGAGTTTTCTGAACTGATTTTGTAAAATGTATTATTTGTTATGTGTGGCCACTGAAGTCTCTCCTCTATTAACATAGTACCTAGACAGAGATTGGACAGCTAATGATTGGACAGAGATTTCCTTAGATGCCTGGAACCAAAAAGTTTCCCAGTCTTTGCAGAGGGGCCCTGTTTGCATGTAGAAGTACGCCTTCAACACTCAGTCAGGCAGTTTTCAAGTCTGCTTTAATCTTCTTTTTTTTATCTGTTCAGGACTTCAAGATCAGCTAAATGTGAGATCTTAAGGTCTTCTCAGATTTTTCCTGAGCTTGTGCATAGCCCTGGCGGTGAGCATGGTCTTCTAGTGTCCTCCAACATAGGAATATGTTGGAGCTTTCCAAGGACCTTATTCCCCCAAAGTTTCTTATTCTTCAACCTTTCCTCTCAAGCTTCTTGAGCAGTCTGTTGTTTGTTCCCAATTATTATTCACTGCCTCAGGCAGCAATGAGTAAAACATTGATCTGTAAATGTTTTTGAAAAACTTCCCTTGGTTAATGGCTTTTAGCACTGGGGCACTCTCACAGCTACTGCAGCCTCTACCTGCTGTGCTCAGATGATCCTTCCACCTCAGTCTTCTAAATAGCTGAAACCACAGGTGCATGTCACCATGCCCAGCTAATTTTTTGATTTATTGTTGAGAGACGGTCTTGCCAGTTAGCCCAGGCTGGTCTCAAATCCCTGGGCTCAGGCAGTCCTCTTGCCTCAGCCTCCCAAAGTGCTGGGATTACAGGTGTGAGCCACCGTGCCTGGCTGAATTTCAAATATTTTTAAAGGTCTCCTGTCATTTATTTTTTGACCCAAGAGTTGTTTCGAATTATGTTATTTGTTTTCCAAGTATTTACAAATCTTATAGATAACTGTTATTAACTTCCAGAGATTAATAATCCTGAGGCCACATAGCACATACAAGTTATTATTCTTTTTAAATTTGTTGACATTTACTTTATTACCCAGGATATTCTGTCTGCGTGAATGTTTTGTGTACACTTGAAAGAAACATGTTCTGCTGCTATTAAGTGTATTGTTGTATAAATGTGTATTACAGTTGGTTGATAGACCTTTTCACATCTTCTATATTCTTTCTGATTTATTTGCTTAATTGTTCTATCAGTTACTGAGAGAGAAGTGTTGAAATATTAACTATAATTGTGGACTTGTCTATTTCTTCTTTTAGTTTTAATGGTTTTTGCTTTATACATTTAAAAAGTTTTATTAGGTACATATACATTTAGAATTGCTATGTCTTCTTTATGAATTGCACTCTTCATCGTTAAGTTTTATCCTCTATTCTTGATAACATTCCATTTTCTTAAGTCTTTTCAGTAGGACTTTCATGGCACATCTTTTTAAATTTTTAAATTTTTAACCAACAGTATTTGGTAAGTCAAAGAAACTCAGAAAAAATATAAGGTAAAGTTGCTAAGCCTGATCCCACATTCCTGACTGATGTAATTAAATGGAGAGTAAAACCAGTCATAGAGCTGGGAACAGGCTTATAAGAGGAAAAATATATCAGATTTTGAGCTGTTCTGTTCTCAGTGTGAATTGAATATTTGAGGGGGAGACCTTGAAAAAACTGGAATTATCTTTTAGAGAATGAACCCCTTGTACAGGCTTCCCCCACTAAGTAAGTGTTCTAAGAACCCATCTGCATCAGTGTACCAGCTAGTGTTGTTGTGAGAGGCTGTGTTCAGCTTCAGAGAACATTTTTTGGAGATTCTTTCAGTGTGCTTGCCCATTTCATGATGGATAGTTTATGAGTGCACCTGCCCACACTTCACTGAGTATTCAGTGGTTTTTGACCAAAAATGGTATGACCTCCATGTCCCACCCTCCCTATTCACCTGATCTCACCTTGAGCAACTTTTTTTGGTTTGTTTCCTGGATGAAAAAAGTCCTTGAAAGGAAACATTTTGCATATGCAGAAGAGGTAATATAAAAAATGGCAGAAGTCCTAAAAGGCATAAAAATTAATGAGTTCAAAAACTGTTCTGAGCAGTGGAAAAAGCATCTTGACAGGTGTATTACATCAAAGGAGAGTACTTTGAAGGTAACTAAAGTTGAAACAGGTACAAATAAATACACAACTTTTTATAAATAAATTCAGTTTTTAGGGGGTTTCCCCCATACAGGTAAAGATATTGATAAAATGAGTCAAGCCTTGGGATAGAGATATGCCTGGAGACACAATCTTGTGAGTCAATGGGAATAAATAACAAAGGATCAAAGGCAAAATTCTGAGAAACAAGACTACTACAAGTTCCTGGCTGGAGGGGAAACTAGCAGAGAAGACTGAAAAAGGAGAGAGTGATCTGAGTATAAAAGAAAAAAGATTATGCTGACTTATATGCTAGGGACACACAAGAGTTTTGAAAAGGTGGATATGGACAAACACTTTTAAAGTTTGGAAGTACTGGGTAAAATGAGGTTATTAGGAACTTTTTTTCAGAGCAGTTTCAAAGTAGCAATATAGTAGTATAGTAGCAATATAAGAGCCAGATTGAAGTGAATATGGGAATAAAGGGCTGAAGATGCAATAGTAATGTAGATTACTTTAAAAACAACTTAAACAACTTTGACAAAACAAAGGGAAGGAGAAAGAAAGGAGGAAAAGAAGGCAACTTGAATAATGCCCTTTATCCCCTTCTCTGCCTGGCTCTCGTGTCTCTTCCAAGATTCGGCCACAGAAAAGGTTTCGGTCAGAAATCCTAAGATAATCTTACATCACGAATAGATGTGTTCTATAGTTCTCCATATATACCTTTGTCATGGTGCTTATCACAATATATTTTAATTGTGTCTTTATTTTTTCTGCTAGATATTTTAATTGTGTCTTCTTTATTTTTTCTACCAGATGGTACTTGAGAGCAGGGACTATCTTTGTAACACCAATGCTCAATTAGCATGATGTCTGGCACATAGTAGGTGGTGAATTCAGGTTTAATGAATGGATAATAGACAGATGTAGTCACACACAGGCTGAGAAGAAGGAGCCAGAGAGAGAAAGATATTAAACATAGAGAAAGGAGAACCTGGATGTCACTGATGGAACAATGTCTTTAGATCTGCCAAAGAGGATGGAATTAGTGCACAAGTGATCAGTCTTAAAAATCAGCAAGGGATATGTGTGCATCTCAGATTGCCATGGAAATGTGAGAAGATGAAGGAATCTGTCAGTACTAAGGGCAGCGGCTTCGTTTTCCTTTTCTTTTTTTCCCTGTAAAGAAGGATGGGAGGGCAAGGAGTAGGAAAGCAAGAAGAAAAGGAACAGAAGTTTGGGGAGAATGGCAAAGACTTGGAATGAATATTTTGGGGGATGAGAAAGAACTCTGATTACAAAAAGATAGCTGAAACTGGAAGTGTTATGTCTGTAGTGGCTTGGAGAGGTAGTGTGATTTTCCTCCCCCCCCCCCCCAGCCAAACACAGGCTTCAGATTTTAGAATCTGAGGGGATTTTTCAAAGATTGATACAGGGTTGGGACTTGCTATGCAGATGTGTTATAGAGAGGTGCACACTTCAAGGGGATTCATCTTAGAAAGAAGGAAGGGTGTGTCTGAGAGCGTATTGACATTTTGTTGTGGGTATTTAAAATGAAAGCCCAGGAGTAGGTAAGGGAAGAAGATGCTAGGCTGGGGTATCTATCCATCCGGGACTCCACACAAGTTTGCACCAGGGCCGGCCGGGTTTGGGGAAGGACTAAGCTCTAACCGATGTGGCGTGGCTACAGCAGCTCTCACGAAATCTAGAAGGTGGCGGAGCTAGCGTACAAGGAGACTCCGTGGAGTGATGGAGACTGTAGTGCGGCCTTTTGATCTTCACCCACATGTCAGTCTCCTGTACGAATGGGGGCCAGAAACTAAGGTGGAGTCTCCCCTCCCCCGGGACGCGGGACAAGGCCTGAACCGGAAGTTTCTCTTCCTACCCGGAAGCAGAGCTGTGCGGCCGGGACGCCGCCGTGGAGCCCCCGCCTCCTTGCCTCCTGGCCGCTGCGTGGGGAACCTGGATCGCGGCGGCGCCGCGTTCCCCTGATGCTCCCCGGCGGGCGGCGGCGGCGGCGGCGGCAGAGGCGGCAGGAGGATGACCTCTCCCCGGGAGCGAGGCGCCGACCTGGCCCGTTTCTACACTGTCACCGAGCCCCAGCGACACCCGAGGGGGTACACAGTGTATAAGGTCACCGCCCGGGTGAGTGCCGGTGTCGGGCGTGGGTAGAAGCCTGGATTAGGACCTGAGGTGAGGGTCCTGGTGTGAGGCTCCCTGACCCTGGGTCAGAGCCGAGGGTGGGACTAGGTGCGCCTGCTGGCGGGACACGCTCGGAGGTAGGGACTTCTGGAAGGCTAGCGCTGTGGCTGAGTGTGGGATGCCCAGGGCTCTACTGGAGTAGGTCGCGATAGAGTCCCCATTCCGGGGTGGGGCAGTGGCTGGTGGTTTTAAATAGATGACTCAGCCTCCATCCCATTTGGACTTTCTCTTTTGAGTTTGAAATTTGCAGAAGTGCTTTTGCTTGCTCCAGAGGGGAAATGCAGACTTAAAAATGCTAATTTATGAATTCCTTGGCTTATATAATCGAATATTATATTCTTCTGTTGACCTTTTTTTTCAGCATCAGGTTTGTTCTGATGAAGACAGACTCGGGAAAGATGTCAGTGTTAGGCCACCAGCCTAAGAGCTCTGGATGTGGTCTGTGTCTTGCCTCTTGAGTTTTAAATGGTTTTCAGTAGGAGACATGAGAAAAATCTACTTAGGATGTCTTTTGTGCGTTTCTTTGAGGGCACATTTAAAAGTTGGGAGGTTCCTTTACATCAAATAACTGATCCAGTTTTTAGTACCCATTTTGTTTCGTTCTTGCATTTTAAAGAGAGTCTTCGTCTCCCTTCTAGGAAAGTAATAAAATTATATAAGAATTTATGTATGTATGCACGAGTGTGTGTGTACTAGTCATTTTATACACATCACCCAATTTAATTCTCATTTTAATACAAGGAAACAAATGCAAGGAATTTTAGTAACTTGACAAACTACATTGCAAGACAGTAGCAGATCTGGGGTTTGTGTTTTTTTTTTTTTGAGTTGGAGTCTCACTCTGTCGCCCAGACTGGAGTGCAGTGGCCGCTCCTGGCCACCGCAGCCTCGACTTGCTGGGCTCCGGCGATCCTTCCGCCTCAGCCTTCCGAGTAGCCAGAATTACAGGCATGTGCTACCACGCCCGGTAATTTTTGATTTATTGTAGAGATGAGGTCTCGCTGCCCAGGCAGGTCTCGAACCCGCGGGCTCAGGCAATCCACTCACCTCAGCCTCCCAAAGGCGCGGGATTACAGGCTGAGCCCGGCAGATCTGGGATTTGAAACCAGTTCTCCTTAACTCTAAGATATGTAAAATGTTAAGAGTCAACTTCACCCCTATTGTTAATTTTTAAGACAAGAGATACAGGCTAAGTAGTGATAGTACACTACACACTTGGGGGGATGTAGTAAGTTAGCGAGCTCAAGAAGTAGACATTGAGAAGAACCCTAGCTGGGTGTGGTAGCTCACGCCTGTAAATCCCAGTACTTTGGGAGGCAGAGGCGAGAGGATTACTTGAGCCCACGGGTTCAAGACCAGCCTGGGCAACATGATGAGACCTCATCTCTACAATAAATAAAAAAATTAGATGGGTGTGGTGGTGTACACCTGTATTTCTAGCTACTTGGAAAGCTGAGATGGATCACTTGAGTGCAGCAAGTTGAGGCTGTGGTGGCCGTGAACATGTCACTGTACTCCATCTGGGTGACAGAGTGAGACTCGGATTAAAAAAAAAAAAGAGAGAGGAGAACCCTAAAGGTTAAGTAGTTTTAGATTAGAGTTTGGGGCATGAGGGTGGATTGGGACCTGAGGGTCTGAGGTGGGGGCCCTGGTGAGGGACTACCTGATCCTGGGTCACAGCTGAGGGTTGGCACTAGGTGTACCCACTGCCAGGTCACACGTGGAGGTAGGGACTTCCATGTGGCACATGGAAATGGTGCACGATTCAGACAAATGTGAAAAGGTGGAATGGATGAGCAATCTGTTTAAAGAAAATGAGACCAGGCCTGGTTACTACAGATAGTCCTAATGAGAATAGAAGGAAATTTGCTGCTCCTGTTTGCAGTAAGCTTGTTTTATAGGTGGAGTGTTAGTTTCAGGTTGTGTAAGAAATTTTGTGAGATTAAGGGGACTTTATTATGCCATTCTTGAAGGCTTTCGAGTTATAGGGTCCTTCAAAAATCTAGGCTTAGTTTCCTAACATATAGTTTGTGGAATCAGAACAGTTTTCAACATACGTAATATTCCCCCCACAGCACCCTATTTATTCTCTATTACAACACAAAAATTATATTGTATTATTCTATGTGCGTGTCTGTGTCTTGTAGTTTTTGAGCAGCTCTATCATTGGTATTTGTTTCCTTTTATGTCAACTAATAAGTCAGCACATGGGACACAGTACTGAAAACATTGTTGATTGTTTTCCTCTCCATTGTAGGCAGGACACCCATAAATGTGTAGTTACAGGCCCTAAATGCTATGAGGGCTATAAGGCTATATAAAGCAGGGATCTTCCTTTCAAGGACATTCATGTTAGAAGACTTCACTGTACTTAAAAAGAAGATAGAATAAGACAGAAGGTGTTAAGAGCCATAAGACACTTCAGAAAAGAACTGTCAGAATTCAGAAGAAAGGTTGCTTCTGGATCAGGGGATTGTGGTATATGTATCAATTAAGATAGGTGGTGAAAGGTGGGAAGAACCCGGAAGAACACAGAAAAGCAGAGCATAAAAGGTGTAAGTTTGAAGAGATAGAGCCCATAAAGGCCTGGATATGAATGTGTGTGAGACTTGAGTAGGAAGATAAGATAGTACATTGCCTTAACCAAATTAATAAAATATACATGCCACATACTGAACTATTTGAACTTGATAATTGCCTTTTTTTCCTCCCTGTAAATGTTTATGTCCTCATATATGGCTTATGTTACACATTTCTTAAAATTTAAGTTTTGAGGGCCAACATGGAGATGTACTTTTAAAATAACTGTTTAATATATAAAACAAGTAAAATACTTATCTTTTGAGAGTTAAAGAGAAAAACATCTTTTCTCAGGAGAATTAACCAGGTAAGCGTTGCTCTCCTGAGAGAACTTAATGAGATTAAAATTAGGAATGTCTTCTGTATGTTTCTTATGACTGGTTCAATTCTAGCTTTAAGGAACAATTTCTGTATTTTTGATTCTTGCAGTGTTACTTCTGTAGGGTAGAATTAGAATAATTGGAAGTACCAGTGTTGAATTTTGGATGGCAAAAGAGGTTTTTCATTTCTTAAATCTTCTTTGTGCTTTTTTTTTTTTTTTTTTTTTTGCAGTTCTCTGGAACATGGCAAGCTTAGATAATTTTGAGGCCAATTACAAGCATGCTAACAGATTCCCTAGTTAAACTGTTGCTTCTTACTTTTTATCTAGAATGAGTACCTCATTCAGAATTAGAAAATTCTTTTGTAAATTTCCTTTGATTCTTTACTTGAAGGACATATAGGTATACAAGAATCATCAATGATTTTGATTGTGTCATAATGCTAAGTTTACACAATTCTAATGTAATACAGAGTTATCAGTAACATGAAATGAATGGTAATTCTTTCCTGTATTCCCATGAGTATGGAAAGCAAAAATATGCTTTTATTCTAAAAAGTGCTACCTGATGGCTTTTTTGTTTACATTGAGTCATGATTTACATACAATAAGATGCACTGATTTTAAGTGAACAATTTTATGAGTTTTGACAAATGAATAAAGTTGTATAACCACAGTCATCACTGCACAAGTTCCCTCATGCGCCTTTATAATTAGTCTCTTCTTTCCACCCCATCTCTAATTAACCACTGATTTGCTTTCTGTGATTATAGATTAGATTAGATTGCATTTTCTAGAATTTTGTATGAAAGGAATCATACGGTATGCACTTATTTTTTGGTCTGGCTTCTTCCACTCAGCACTATTATTTGAGATTTATCCATGTTGTTGTATGTTTTCATTCCCTTTTGTTACTGACTGGTATTCCATTGTATGGTTATACTACATTTTCTCCATTTACCTATTGGTGGATATTTGGGTTGCTTCCAGTTTTTGTATATTATGAATACAGCTATTATGAAATTCATGTACAAACCTTTTATGGACATTTGGTTTCATTTCTCTTGATACCACACTGCTTCGTTTACTGTAGCTTTATACTAAGTCTTGAAATTAGGTAGTCTAAGTACTCTTTCTTTCTCAAAATTGTTTTGGCTGTTCTAGATTGTTTGTACTTGCATATAAAATATAGAATCAGTCCGTCAAGTTCTTCAAAAATGCCTGCCCAGATTTTGATTGGGATTACATTGAGAATATGTCAATTTCAGAAAACTTGATGTCTTAACAATATTGAGTCTTCTGATCCATAAACATATATATCTCCTCACTTATTTGGCTCTTCTTTCACTTGAGCAACACTTTATCATTGTTAGAGTACAGTCTTGCACATATTTAATGTAATGTGGAATCCCATTGCATGGTCAGGCCAAGGTAGAAGGATCACTTGGGGCCAGGAGTTCAAGACTGGTCTGGGCAACATAGTGAAACCTCGTCCTAGAACAACAACAACAAAAAATTACCTAGGCATGCTGGTACTTAATTACTTGGGAGGCTGAGGTTGGAGGATCACTTGAGGCCCAGGAATTTGAGATTGGGCTTGGTGGCTCAGCCTGTAATCCCGCGCCTTGGGAGGCTGAGGTGCATGGATTGCCTGAGCCCGTGGGTTCGAGACCCGCCTGGGCAACTTGGCGAGACCTCATCTCTACAATAAATCAAAAAATTAGCCGGGTGTGGTAGTGTGCGCCCGTAGTTCCAGCTACTGGAAGGCTGAGGTGGAAGGATCACTGGAGCCCAGCAGGTCGAGGTTGCGGTGGCTGGGAGCGGCCACTGCACTCCAGTCTGGGCAACAGAGTGAGACTCCAACTCACACACACACACAAAAATAAATATGATTGTGCTACTTCACTCCAGCATGGGTGACAGAGCAAGACCCTAGCTATCTCGAAAAAAAAAATTTGGGTTTCTTTTTAAACTATGAGATTGCATAAAGTCCTCATTTTACATAGCTAATGTTTTTTGATTGATAACAGCAAGCACATGGTAC